TCCAAATCATCTTTACCTTCTTCATCCACCTCCACACGCTCGTGATCTTGATCACCCGTCTCATTCTCTGGCACTTCAGCAACCGGCAGAGCCACAGCCGGTAGTTTTGTGATATCGACATCCGGTCGTCGTCTAAGACGATAAACCGTGTTCAACAGCTTATTCACATACTCTTTTGCCACCGTAGTCTGCTCATAAAACTTCACATTCTCTGCTCTGTGCTCACTTACCACGCCAGTTGCTAAGTCCAAGAGACGATAGCCTTTAGTCTTCACTGCATATCCGACCAACAAAGATGGAGCTCCTCTCCTCGACAACTTGTTGTCGCGATACACTTTGTCCACAAATTTTACTGCAAAACAGCCAAATGGTCTCAGATGACGTACACTCGGCTTCGTACCGAAACTTTCTCGTGTGGTGTCACCTGGTTCTTGTTGCCCTTCGTACTCGTGCGATTTGTCGTCTCCACCACGTATGCAGCCGCTTCTACCCACAGCATATCAGGAAGACCGCTACTATACAGGACTGACCGCACTTTATTCATCATTACACCATGCGCCTTATCCACCAAGCGCACTTCTTCTGGAGTATGTGGATGAGCGGATATCTGTATCGACTCACCGACACACATCCTGGCAACTTCGTCACTTGAAATTTCCGAACCTTGATCTGAGTGAAAAACTTTCACGACTTTTCCGTGTCTAGCTTTCACATATTCTCGAAATTCCACAAGCTTCTGCACTGTTTCCTCCTTTGACTGCTGCAAGTAGATCCACTGATATCTCGAGCCCTCATCCAACACATGCAAGTACAATTTGTAACCTTCCATGGTTGGCACACTTAGAAAGCCCGAGTCCACAATCACTTTCTCGAAAGGAATTTCAACCCTCTTAGGCGACGTAGAACGGAACGACATGCGCTTCATTTTCGCCATTTCACAATTGTAGCAACGTGCCTTTGTCTTCCGCTCTAAGCTCGACAACTCCAATCCTCTCACCAACTCCTTAGCAGCCAACAATGTAATAGCGTTCCAACTCGCATGCGCAAGTCGGAGATGCCACAGCCGTAAAGTATTCTTCGGTTGAGGTAACATGACTGTCATTGCCGGCTTGGAACTCGAGACCTCCACCATTGACTGAAAAAGTCCGTCCGACATATCAAACTTCCACACCCAATTCTTTATTGGTTGCGTTAACGTCGTCCACTGTTGATCCTCACATATCTGCGCACAAAATTCATGTTCCTTTAGCAGTAAACGCTGCGATGACAAAGTCGTAGCACCGTCCTCGAATACTGCATCCATACTAATCGGAACCCGTTCACCACTAATGGCATCCACAACAAGGAACTTCACTATCCCATGCTGCTCTGCCTTCTTCACTGTGTTGTCAAACCACTTCATTTTCACGTCACAGTCACTCAATAGCGACTCAAACGCATCTCGACAACCACTCCTGAAGTGTTATCCAAGACGAAAGACATGTAAAACTCCACATCCGACTCGGATTTCTGGACAGGGTTCACTAAACAGGGCTCCTCATCTCCATGAACTAACTTAATTACCGTCACATGTTTGCCCTTGGTCTTACTTCGTTGAGATTTATAATATCCTGCAACGTCTTCATGGGGATCCTCGCTCTCTGCTTTCCCAGGTGCCTCCGGTTTGCTTTTGCTCGGCGGTCCACCTGACGGAAGCTCTCGTTTCGGAGCACGACATTCGTACGCATAATGCCCCCACTTGTCACAGTTCCATCATCTGATGTTCGCGCGACGCCTCTTTTGGCCACCACGACCACCTTTATCTGCTTGCTGTTGCTGCCTTTTCCCTTGAGCGAACAAAGCGATTTGTGCGCCAGACTGCTGTGACCCAGAAGGTGCAGACCCCGTTGCTGCTGCAGCGGCGCTGCTCAATTTCCGAGCTCTCGCCTCCGCAATAGACTTGGCCTGATTCATCCTTTCCTCACGACTAGTGAGTTTCACCTTCACTTGCTGCAACGTGTAGTTATCGAGATTGCCGAACGTTTCCACCAGGTTCTGATACGAATGTCCCAATCCCGTCAACAGAGCTGTGGTCGCATCCTTATCCGAGACTTCTTCATTCATCAGTATTAAATCCTGCTTAAGTGCCTCTACCCGATGAATGTACTTCCTTGTTGTCTCGTTTCCAGCATCAAACTCCACGCTCATCAGCTCACGACGCTTGAGCAATCGACTGCTTCTCAAAATCATCCACCAGAGCCTTCCACTTATCCTGTGGTTTCTCCAGATGGGCAAGTCTCACGCGAGTTCCATCGTCCAACGTGTTCGTTAATATGTCATTGATCTGCAAGACTTTGTCCCGCCACTTTTTGCGCCGTTGCTTCATCTCATTTGTTCCATCCCGTGCAGGCCCTTTCTCCGATCAGGACTTTCCAACACTTTCGTGCCTTGAGAGCCGCCATCAATCCTTCCTTGTACGCCAAGAAATTCTTCCCATCAAGCTTCAAGTAGCGAATTGTATCCACGCGAGGAATATTCTTGTCCGCACGATTTGGGCTCATAACCATGAGCAACAATCACTTGTGTAGCAACTGTATCACTAAGCGCAGCTCTTCCAAGAGTAGGAATTGCTAAAGCTGTATTCACGGCTTAGCAGATAGCGGAATAAAATCTCTGTTCTCTTTTTCAACCAGGCTAAAGCCAACGGTCTTTTCTCCGAGCGCCCTTGTCCCAGATGCGTCTCAGACGTTGAAGTCGCTCTCCATTATTCTTGTTTCTCTAAGGGCCCCGCGGTATTTGCGAAGGCGGGCCCAGCGCTGAGCTCACCAGCGAGCCGAACACTACACTTTCCAGAACATTCTATCTCCATATTGCGAGCGCAGCGAACCGCGGGGGCCGAAGAGGCGCCCAGCCAAACGAAGCGCGGCTGGTCCCTATTCTGCTGTGACCTTTAATCGTCGATTATGTCTTATTGCGACACTCAGAAGGTCAAAACAATACAGAGGTCAGGTCAAATGATTTGCTGTGTGTTGACGCAGTAAATGCATGTGTTTGACATGTTCTATCAATAAGAACGTGCAGCGTACACAAAATGATACTTACGAACCATTTAGAGTTATCGATAAAATCGAGCTTAAAGCTGGCCATTTGGTTTTCGCACTTAACCGAAACTGTGACACTTATTGTAAACTTCAATAAAAAAACTGTTAAAGTACCCTTATTCAATTGCTTTTAACAAGGGCTTTTGTGAATCTCTAAAATTGAAAAATAATATTGGGCTTCTATAGCCAGTCGATTAGCGGGATAATGGCGGTACGTACGCAACCCCAATCCGTGGTTGTGAGATAATGCAGTCTTAGTGACGCAAACTGCAAAATGAAGAGGGGATGTGCTCACCACTTGAACGCAAGCGTTTATCTGTATACACACATGAGCAACGTTAGCTGTTGAATAGTATTGTTACATAAAGTACCGATCAGTAACCGACTGTGACCGACAGTGCCAGACTACAACCGACTGTGACCGGCAGTGACCGACAGTCAACGTCTCGCACCTGGGCCTTGCACTCGATCGGGCGTACTTCCTGACGTGGCCTCTTCCCTTTACCACGGTATCTGTACTTGCCGCCATGCGTGCAAATGAGCGTCTTTGCGTACGTACACCATGCCTCTGGGATGAGCGTTGAAGACGGCTTCTGGGCCTTCTGGATTAGCCTGTTCCGTTCTGCCACGCTTTTAGTTGATCGCACTCTTAAAACCTACAGTAAATTGGTCAAACCCGTTGAATACTCTCATAATGTAATACATAGTGCCATCAATGCCCTTACCTGGTAAGTCTGCTTCTGATACTCGTCCAGATACGAGTGAAAGGCTTCCCAGGACTGAAACTGCGTTTCAACCAAGTCTGCACAGACTTCTGGAGATCCTCTTCCGCTACTACCTCCACTTGTTCTCTCGCCAGGCGTATCAGTCACGCTTGAATCCTCGACACTCCACGTCGCCGCACTGGAACTACTGGATACGGCGGAGTCGTCCACCCAGCTCGCGTCCGAGCCGTCATTCTCACTGCGCCCGCTGTAGGCTTCCTCTGAGGGCCGCTTCTTCGACGCGCGTGCAGGCTGGCGCCGAACCATTGCTGGCGCTGTTCTTCTCGAAATGGAGTGCCCCTAAATGAGTGGCACAAAAGCTCCGTATACGGGTATACAAATTTAACCGTACGAGGGACTCAAAATTTCCTTGACAATTAATTTTTTGCGTTTTCAGTCTGGCACAATAACGACTCTCAAAACAATATTGAGCTCACAACACTCCTAAATGTGTCGTCATTTCGAGGGACCATAAATGGAGATATTTTTTTGAGCGACCACAACTTTTTCATTATGTAGCCTATTAGGGCTCAAGAGGTGAAACGCCCAGATCGTACTTAAGTCGCCGTTCATCGTACATAATAAGTACCGACACGTACATGTAGAGCTCACAAATTGTGAGTCACAATACATTTTTACCAAGTGATTATCCAGGCTGATTCATTTCGTCATCACAATGTGGTCCTGGTTTGCAGAAACTTGCTATTGTTTATCCAACAAACAAGCTGCAATCTATCCGTCCAAGAAGGCAAAAGGCTATATAAGTCTTCAAAATGGATCACTGATGTTGCGCAAGCATCCCACGTAACAGCAACTTGCAGCTTGAAACTCAGCGCTGCACTTCCGATATCGTCAAGAAAACATAAAAACAATTGGGTGGTCGAATTTGACTATGGTGCCCGGCTGGCACTGCCATCCCGACGGGCGGTTGACTCTTATAATAAAGGGTGTCGGTGTTGACGACATTGTCTACTGATCACACACATCAAAGTTTGCTTTACTTCGAGTACAGTACCCTTGTCTTCCCAAATTCCTCGCCTCCCATTGGTTGTCTCACATTATAACTTGGATTCAGTATCCGATACAAAAACCAAATGTCCTTTTTTGATGTTTATGAAGATCGCGTTGCGTCAGCTGCCAGAATCAAATTTGCATTCGAGCGATCAAGCCGAAAACACTCTCCAAGTTCCAGATGGCTGCCTCCACGCATAACATGAAGTATCGTTTCCTGGGCAACACCGGCTTGCTGGTATCCCGACTGTCATTCGGCAGTTGGGTGACCTTCGACAATCAGTTGGACTTCGAGAAGGCCTACAGCATTATGGAGCACGCCTACAAGAATGGCGTCAACTTCTTCGACAACGCTGAGGTGTACGCCAACGGTCAGTCAGAGCTCATCATGGGCAAAGTGGTGAAGGCTGGTATCGAGCGTAAGGTGTGGGAGCGCGAAGACCTGGTGATCAGCACCAAGCTCTTCTTCGGCACCAAGTCTGGCCCCAACGACGTGGGCAACAGCCGCAAGCATATCGTGGAGGGCATGAAGGCGTCGCTCAAGCGCTTCGACCTGGACTACGTGGACCTGGTCTTCTGCCACCGACCGGACCCTGCCACCCCCATTGAGGAGACCGTGCGTGCCATGAACTTCATCATTGAGCAGGGCTGGGCTTTCTACTGGGGCACCAGCGAATGGTGTGCCAAGGACATCATCGAGGCGTGCGAGATCGCCGACCGGCTCGGTCTGATCCGCCCCGTGTACGACCAGCCACAGTACCACATCCTCGAACGCTCTCGTGTTGAGTACGACTTCGACGTGCTGTACAAGAAGTACAACTACGGCCTCACCACGTGGTCTCCGCTGGCGTCGGGTATTCTCACGGGTAAATACAGCAAGGGCATTCCGGAGGGCTCGCGCCTGTCCATGCCGTCGTACAAGCAGATGCTATCAAACGGTCTTGAAGAGAAGGTCGCTAAGGCCGACAAGCTCGCTGAAGTGGCCAAGGAGGTGGGCTGCTCGCTGGCGCAGCTGTCGATTGCCTGGGTGGCGGCCAACCCACACGTGTCCACGGTGATTCTTGGTGCTACCAGCATCAAGCAGCTGGATGAGAACTTGAAGGCTATGGAGTTCGTGGACAAGATTACGCCTGAGTTGCGCGAGAAGATTGACGCTATTGCCGACTTTAAGGCAAAGCTTGTGCCGCAGGCTGAGCCCCATGTGATTAACCTGCGCCAGAAGTGGTTGTAAATGTTGTTTGTGGCAGATACGTTGTTGAGTCTTCAACGAAGCTCAGCAAATGTGGATTGCACTTGAGACAGCAACAACTTTTGCTGTTCAGTCGCCCCGAGAAAATATAAGACAGAGATTTTCCTCTTCTATTTGTCTTCACGTGTGATGGATGTATTAATAGTGTTGTCTTCACGTGTGATGTTGTGCAAGACTAAAATGCACAGCTGCACATGTATCCGTTGAAGTATTTTTAGTCCAATTTGGCACTGCCAAATGCCAATTTCCGCTGATGCACGGCACATCATTTTTATTGTCGTGCTAGTCGCGGGTTGACGTCGACTGGAGAGCTTACAAATTCGGTGAGATATAGGCTCCTGTCTATACTTCGCTTGCCCGAGTTTTGCACCGCTGCATCAACCACTCCTCGCATCGCCTTCAATAGCTTGGTGAGACCATGGTGCAACTACTTCGAAGTAGTAAGGAGAGCATCTCGGCGTTGGGAGCTACATGTAGCTGCATTCACAAGTACGTCAGACTCTCGGTATCTGAGCCTCACAACTCAAATCGCCCCAGACGCAGCACAATTCCACCATGAGCACCACCACGACGCACAACATGAAGTACCGATTCCTGGGAAACTCGGGTTTGCTGGTCTCTCGCCTTTCGTTCGGCAGTTGGGTGACCTTCGACACGCAGCTCGATTTCGAGAAGGCCTACAGCATCATGGAGCACGCGTACAAGCAAGGCATTAACTTCTTCGACAATGCTGAAGTGTACGAGAACGGTCGTTCCGAGCTCGTTATGGGTAAAGTGGTGAAGGCCGGCATCGAACGCGGAGCTTGGACGCGAGAGGACCTAGTGATCAGCACTAAGCTCTTTTTTGGAACCAAGCCGAGTCCGAACCAGGGTGGCAACAGCCGCAAACACATCGTCGAGGGCATGAAGGCGTCACTTAAGCGCTTTGAACTCGACTACGTGGACCTCGTTTTTTGCCACCGTGCCGACCCCTTCACCCCCATGGAGGAGACGGTATGTCTTGCAATCATACAGAGCAAACGGGAAGGCTTTTAAACTAAATATTTCAATCATGCATTACCAGGTTCGTGCGATGAACTACGTGATTGAGCAAGGCTGGGCGTTCTACTGGGGCACTAGCGAATGGACCGCTCAAGAGATCATTGAAGCTTGCGAGATCGCGGATCGCCTCGGCTTGATTCGTCCGGTGCGAAGACTGCAAGGTGTTTGATATTCTTGTAACAAATCTAACGACGATGTCATCTGATATATGTGCAGGTGTTTGACCAGCCGCAGTATCACATCCTGGAGCGTTCGCGCGTCGAGTACGACTACGATGTCTTGTACAAGAAGTACAACTATGGCCTTACCACGTGGTCGCCACTGGCGTCTGGCATTTTGACCGGCAAGTACAGCAAGGGCATTCCGGAGGGCTCGCGTCTGTCTCTCCCACTCTACAAGAACCTGCTTTCGAATGGTCTTGAGGAGAAGGTTGCCAAGGTGGTTAAGCTGACGGAGATTGCGAACGAGTTGGGCTGCTCCATGGCGCAGCTGGCCATCGCTTGGGTGGCAGCCAGCCCGCACGTATCAACGGTGATCCTCGGTGCTACGAGCATCAAGCAGCTGGATGAGAATCTGAAGGCGCTCGAATTCGCGAACAAGATAACGCCTGAGATCCGTGAGAAGATCGATTATATTGCCGACTTCCGTGCCAAGCTGGTGACAGACCCAGAGCCTCACGTTCTCGCACTCCGAAAGCAGTATCTGTAAGTGGCTATCGGTCTGGAGAATGAGGAAACAAGAGATAACTGTAATGCAATACAGTCAGTAGCTTGCATCTGACTTTTGGCGGGTCTGATCTCGTCAGTGATTGGCTCATACCAATGACTTAAGAGTTTTCGCGCGCAATTCTGTTAGGTGCGATTTCATTTGCCCTTGGAAGTGGCCTACTAGAGCTTCAGTGTTGGCTCTCCACCTATCGCTAGTGACCACCACAGCTACATTATCTCGACGAGACAGAAATCTGCGTATTCTGCGTGATCTGTCCGCCTCTATCCCGCTTCTTCGACGCCCAATCATTCCATGCCGACCGCGGTATTTATCATGGAAGACAGCCACCATTTCTCCGCAAATCTTGGTCGTGGTAAGTTGTAACGCTGTCTTACTAACAACTTCACGCGTCTAACTAACCAAATGTATCTTGCGCAGACGCCCTCGACTCTGACAGCCTCTTAGGCCTTCATACAGCTTGGATGGACGACGAGCAGCTCAATAATCTGCCAATTATGGACGTGTTCACTGACGTATCGACTCCTAGGGCACAAGACAGTGGCGCTGACGTCTTGAATACTACAGACAAGCCGCGATGTCAGTCTACTGCAGCAAACTCGGCGCTTGATGCGGAGCTGGGAGACTACGATGCTCCGTTACTCGATGATGCGTTGGATTTCTGCTTTGACACAGAGCTGTCACCTATTCTGGAGCCTTTCGCAGACGCCGCTGTGGCCGTGACCCCACTGAAAATGCAACGAAGGCCGACTAAGAGTCCTAGGACACGCAGGACGACTAGTTCCCCGCTAAGGAGGGCACCAACTGTCATCACGCCCCGACACGCCAACACGATGGAGACTAGCAGGACAGGTGAGGAGACAGCACCGATAAATGTAGCGAAGCGACCCAGAACCAGAAGCTCGTCATGGCAAGAACAGGAACAGAACACATTTTTCACCATGTTTAAGGTCAAGTGGCCGCCAACAGCTGAAGGCGATCCAGTACCTCCTTTCAGCTCGCTGCTGCTGCAACGCTTCGACGCAATCAGCACCAAAGTCAGGACCAAGAGCGTGATGGAAGTGCGACAGTTCTACACTACAGTGATGCGCAATATCTCCGCGTTACTGGAGGTTGTGGAGAATGACATCGACTTGACCAACCCGGACCAAGTGCGCATTGCCGTCTGGTGCTGGAGCAAGCTGATGGCTGACAAGAAACACTCCGAAGAGTGAGTATCTTCTTGGTGTGTATACGGCAATATGTCGTGTGATTTTAACGTTTCTACTTGTGTTCTCTTTAGATTTCACTCCCTCGATTCAGAGTCCGCCGCTGTGAAGACCAACTTGGCCAACGTACTGCTTCAGTCTATCATTCGTAGCCGCCGACAGATGCTCAAGGCCAAGTCAGACTCCAAGAACACACCTGCATCTGGTCTGACTTCCATCTCTGCGTGGGTGTCAAGGTCAAATCTCAGCTCGTTCTTCGCCAAAGACGACATCCCAGTTTCAGAGACATCAACTGTGCAGATTCATCACCCAATGGTGCGAAAGAAACACGCTAGTTCTCAGGGCCAGGTAGCTTGGATGCCTCCTAGCTCCTCAGTCACTGAGAATGCCATAAAGGTTTTGTCTACTGCACAGCCCAGCCATGACTCACCGGGTAAAGCGACCTCGAAGCGTAAGCGCAGCACGTCCACAGACCGCTCTCCAGCTGCTGGATCGAAGAAAACGCGTCGTGCTGAAGTGGAAACGATCTCTTTTGCAAGCCCCATTCCCACGAATAAGCGGACTCGCTGTCGCACGAGGAATGGTGTTGAGTTCCACACACCGCAGCAATCTCGGAAGAAGATTTACATCAAGATGCGTATGGTGCCACGAGATAAGCAGACGAAGGCGGACATGGTGCAGTGTGGTTGTCGACCGAAGGTAGAGCTAAAGCTGTCGTCGACGAAGAAGATTTCCGAGATCACGGCGCATATGAGCAAGAAGTGGGCGAAAGTACGGTCACTAGTGCCAAAAGGGGCGGTGCTGTGCTTCTTTCAGAAGAATGGGGGTGAAAAGTGGTCCAAGGATGACGCTAATGTGACCTGCTTTGATATCTGGAAACAATGTGGCAAGCAGAGCAATGGGGAAAACGTAGTCGAAGTGTCCTACTTGTGGAAAGTGCCAGAGACGGCAGGCACTGCTGACGGCGAAAACGTTCAGGTGCAAGAATTGATGCCGTTGTTGGCGCCACCTGGACTTTTCGAGCAGGAAATATCAGCTGCAGACAAGCAAGCACTAAGTAGTGGAGATGAAAGTGAGATTGTGCAGTTGTCACCAGCTCGTGGTCTACAAGAATTCGGTGAGAAAGTCGCATTTGATCGAAGCATTACCGACGAGGCTAAGGAGGAAGCAGCAGCGCTCGAGGCTTTGATGAGCGATAGCGGTGACGAAGGGCTTGGCGAGGAGTACAGTCCAGCTACAGGCCGTCTGCGTCGACGTATCAAACCGGTGCTAGTATCAAAGGAAGAGTTCACAGTCAATATCTAAGCAGACCCTTGTAATTGTACTGCATTGTATCGGACGAAGTAAAACAGTGCCACCGCATTCGTCACGTGTCTAATGTTTCGGCTGGGCTAGTAGAAGGCGGTAGTGGAAGCCACTCTCTAAAGACTTCACCTTCAGGTCTGCAAGCTCTTGCACCGGGTGGATTCCAGACTGGAAGTTCCATTCAAACGCTCGACCGTCGGCTGTAAGGAAGCGTGGCATGTCAGTAAGTACCTAATCCAGCTCAACAGTAAGTGATTCCTTACCAGTGACGAAAGAGGATTTATCGACACCCTGGCCGATTTTCACGATGTCCTTCGTACGCACAACCTGCTCGTTGGTGATCTGCATCGGAGTCGTGTGCATTTGCGAAGCCACGTGGGCAAAATCGTTCCTTTCCTGACGACCCGAAGGCGTGCGACCCGCGAGCCAGATCTTCTCATCGGCTTATAAACCAAGTACGAAAGTGTTAGCCCAAAGCAGGTAAATAAATGCATTTTATATGCGGCAAACTCACCAGTAATAAAAGTCGTGTGGAACTGACTGCACTTTAAGAGCTTCACTGCGTCGCTAGTGCGTACGAGTCGTGGGGTGATCTGATCACCGTTTGTCTCGGTTTTTCCTTTAGGGTTCAACAGCTTACCCCACAGGAACAGCTCGCCGTCATCTGGAACCCATACAAAAAAAAACTATTAGATTATCAAGAACAGCCACAGCTCACCGGCAATTCCAGCTCACCTGAAACAGCGCAAGAGTGGTTAAATCCAGCGCCCACTTTGGCGATCTTCTTGCCCTTCAACGCAATCAGTTCTTGAGGGGCATCGGCGTTGCCCGTGCCGAAGCCAAGTTGGCCTCGTTCACCCTTGCCCCAGGTAAATACCGTGCCGTTTTTTGTCACAGCAAGGCCATGCTGGTAGCCTGCAGCAATGTCCACAATTTCATCACCGTCGATGTTCACGTGCGTAGGTAGCTGGACACTGACACCCTCCTCTCCGATGCCACACTGGCCGTAGCTGTTGGCACCCAGTGTGAACAGCTTGCCACTCTCTGTTAGAAGGAATGTCAATGCCGTAGAGCATACAATTTTCTTGACACATTCTCCTTCAGGTAGCTCCACCAGCGCTGGCTCCAGTGTGTCCACTCCTCGTGCACGCGTGAAGCTGTTCATCCACCACACGAGCTTCGGCAGCACGCGCTGTATGTTTGTAGAGCGAATTACATCGCGGAATGAGTGCGTGCGTCCGTAAATGTAGGCGTCTCCATTGTTCGTGATGAAACCGGCATGGGCCCAGCCAACGGAGATTTCCTTGACGGATAAATTTGTCGTGGTCGGCAGCGGCGTGGGAGTCAATACGTTCTCGTAGCCTCCCGTGCCCAGTGCACCCAGGAACCCATCTCCGTACGAAAGTAGAATTGCTGATGTACAGCAACAAGAAACAATAGATCGATGGTAATTTAAATAGAGATTGTAAACTATGAGAGGCAGTCAGGTGTTGAACGTACGGCCAGGAGCAGAGTTGGCGGCTTGCGTGGACAATGCAGATTCTGCGTGCAATTACAATAAACTGGAAATTAATTATAGGAAGAAAGTGTGGATGACATGGAGAAAACGCGTACTGCGAACTGCGGTGAGAGCTGGCCGACTACAGGCAGCAAGGGAGCGCAGCGACATCATGGTGCACTTGACGTCGATCACACTCGCCACACGCCTAAACGGAATACTGTATTACTATTTGTTGAAATTCCAACCTTTTCAGATATAATTGACCAATCCTCGTACAAATAATGGCAACATGCACTAAGTTAGAGGCATAAAGTGTCCACCATCGTCTCCACAGTGAAATCGACACTACAGTAGTCACTCGAGCCTACAATTATTATAAGCAGCTACAAGAAATAAAAACTTGTTCTCGCCCTTGCAACTCGATCTTGAGGCGGAATATTCATGGAGTGCATCAAGCGAAGCATTTGACACCCTACTCCAGGCCTTGATTGCAGAGTGGGCAAGACGGTGCGCGCTGTGAGTTGACAGAGGTAAAGGCCCACTTGTCCAGACACTCGAGATGAAATTCGTGCTTGCACTTGCGTAGTAGACGCAGCACGTCTCCCGTTTCGTACTCTTCGCAGCAGATACAGCACGTGTCGTTGTTGGATGGGCCTCCCCTGTACTTGACCAGCAGATCAACAAGCTCTTGACGCTCCACACATCCGGCAAGGTCCACGTCACGACGCTCGAGTCGCTGCTTGAGTTCAGCGATGGTGACTTCCTTGAGCTCCCCGGGCGTCTTGAACTCCTCCGTGGGCATCACCTGAATGGTGCGTAGCGTTCGGTTAAATGTGTCGGAGCGTGCATCCTCTTGTGCTGCACGGTTTTGATTATTGGCCTCCCGCTGCGCTGCTGCCGCCGCCACCTGCGTGTAGGCCTCACGGAAGAAAGCCACCCAACCCATTTCGGGGTGCTATCCATAACACAACAACAACGTACAAAGTTAGAGCATTGTATTACACAGATCAGGACACAAATTCAGTGTATCTAATGCGTACCCGTCCGCGGAGCTGGTACAGCACGCGGCAGAAGCGCGCGGCCTTCCAGAACGTCATGAGTGAGAGTCCCACCAGGAACAGGATGGCAACGTTGAGCGCCAGCGACGCGCCCTCGTTATCTGCAGCATTGCTCTGCAGCAGCGGCATAACCACTTGCACGAACAGCAGCAGTGCCACCATCCATGGGTTGTCCGTCGCGTTGATCATCACAAGCATGGCTGCTTTGGTACTGTGACACTGAGTGCGACTTGATGCAAAATCGAATGTGAAGAGCTCTTTCTAACGTCGCAGTGTCTTTGTCAATGCGATACCTCATCATTGGTACAGTGTACCAGCTGAGCTCCTCTTGCCAAACTGAGTCAACTTGGAACACCATGAACGCTACTGCGCCGGCATTGATCCCGCCCTTCCGCTTCAGTACAGTGCAGCAGGGGCTGTTCCGCGGCGCATACCCGACGCTCAAGAATTTCCGCTTCCTGCGTCGGCTTGGACTGAAGACTCTGGTGTCCGTGATCCCAGAGCCGCCCACGAGCGATCTGGCGGACTTCTGCGCCAACGAGAAGATCACGCTCCTGCACTTCTACGCTGAGAAGTTCACGTCCGATAATGTTACTGTTTCGCCCTCTACAGCAGCACAAATCGTAGACATCCTCGTGCAGAAGAAGAACCTCCCGCTGTATATTCACTGTCTGGACGGATCCAATGTCACGGGCATCGTCGTTATGATCCTCCGAAAGCTCCAGAACTGGACGAAACTTGCCACAGTCTCGGAGTTCTGCAGGTGCGTTGCAATGTTCGATTGAAACGATAAAAGTTTGTGCTGCAATCAAGCTGACGTCGATTGCATGTGCATCTGCAACAGATTCACTCGTGACCATGGCATCGAGAAGGACGAGTCCGAGTACCTTGCAGTCTTTTCGGAGGAGATCGTTGTGACTGCCGACGCCCCGCATTGGCTGTGGAATGGAGTGCGCGTAAGTAAACACCCGACTATGATCGTTCATCAACCGGATCTAGAGCTAGCGACGGCCAATACGCTGGATTCTGCAGGGAACCCAAACAACGGAGCGCCAAACCTCAAATGGGAGACAGAAGTCGAAAAGACTGAGGCTATCCTACGACAATTCGAGGAGGCCAGTCGCAACCGCATAGGAGAAGTTGTCGAAGGTAGTGAGGAGGTGGAAACTATCATCGAAGAAGCGTTGCAGGACCTTCCACTCACTCGATCACTCGAAGCGCTTGACCTTGCCGGAGTCTGAGGAAAAATCTGCTCAATGCAAGACTTTAAACGCGTGTATACTCTGTGAACTCCACCATATTGTATACCTGATGCAATGTTAGCAGCATTATGCTACGAAGTACAAATTAGCGGTACCTTTTTGGCGCCGTCTCGAGATTGAAATGTTGTCCACGGGCGCCAACACAAACATATGCGCCAATCACAATCGTCCATTCCGCTGGTGAAGACTTCACTTGTCAATTGGCATGTCATCCGCCAAGTCCGACCTAGACCAACATGCACGAAGTATAGAGGAGCTTTCGTCCGAAGCAGAGGCCGCTGCCACGTCGGCTATGTTTGTGTTCACAGCGGACAAGGCTGGTATGAAAGGCGTGGACAAACAACATGTCCAGGAGGTGGTGCACAAGATGTCCAAGGACTCGTCTTTCTTTCAGAAATCTCTACGTGATAACGCTAAGGTGGAGCAACGTGTAGCAGCCATGCGCGAGAAACTCGCGTGCTTGACAGGCAGTCAGATACAGCGCTTACAACAGGAGGCTGATGCACGAGTGGCGCAGTTGGAGGCGACGCGAGACCTTTCGCGAACTATTGTGGTCGTGGACATGGACATGTTCTACGCTGCCGTCGAAATGCGGGATGACCCAAAGCTGCGTGACGTGCCACTCGCAGTCGGTGGTCTCGGTATGATAAGTACAACCAACTATGCGGCGAGACAGTTTGGCGTACGTGCTGCTATGCCGGGTTTCATTGGCAAGGAACTGTGTCCAGACCTCCATTTTGTGCCTGTCAACATGAAAAAGTACGCCGGTGTCGCTGCTGAGATCCGTGCTGTGTTTGCGGAGTACGATCCGGACTTTGAAGCTTTCAGTCTGGATGAAGCGTGTCTTGATCTCACGGATTATATTGCGGAGAACTGGCAAAAGTATATTTCGGATGCGATGGATGAAATCGAGAGTAAGGAGAGCGACAAGGAAGAATGGGCCTCGACAGCCTCCGGTCGAGCAGCCATTGCAGCTGTTGTAGTTCGTGAGCTGCGTAAGAAGGTTTTCGACTGTACACAGCTGACGGCAAGTGCTGGAATTGCAGTGAACTCTATGCTCGCTAAGGTAAGAAGGACAACTTGTTATTACCTCCCACTTCATCTGACCAAAATGTGTTGTGTGCTTCTACTGTAGATCTGCTCGGATATGAACAAGCCCAATGGACAGTATGTGTTACCCTTCTCACGCGAGCGCGTGATGACGTTTATTCGAGAACTCCCTGTGCGTAAGATCGGTGGCATTGGCAAAGTCATGGAAAAGACTCTCAACGAGGCGCTCGATGTGCAAACGGGAGGCGACCTATTTGATCAGCGTGGCAAGATCGCTCATTTGTTTTCGGGAAAGACTGCAATGTGGTTGCTGCAGACATCTCTGGGGGTTCAAGAGCGTCGAGAAAAACAAGAACGCAAGAGTTTCAGCCGAGAACGCACTTTCAAAAGGTTAAGTGACCCAAAGCAGCTTGAGGAGAAGTCGGGATCACCGCCATGCCTTCTCCCAGATCCTCGGCGTGTAGATCCTCGCCTTCACGGTAACAGACTTGCTCATCTTCCGTCTTCGTAGGATCCACCATTGGATCCAAACACCGCGGCCCTCTCTCGCCTGGCAGTCCTTCTATCTTCGGGGGTTCAGGTACCCTGGTATCAGGGAAACCACCAGTTGGATCCAGTTGGTCCTCTAACTGTAATAAGACCGACAGTTCGGGTTTGACTAGTGTTGCCACTCTCGATAGGGATCCAGGCACTTTATCCAATGGAGA